GAGATAGGTCCATAGTTACTATTGAACTTGAATAGGAAGTCATATACTGGCATTATAAATGTGACATTAAAATTGACCTTTGTCCTACTTTTCACCATAAACTGAACTTTGCAAATTTTGCTTCCCTTTTATCTCCAAAAAATATGTGGGGGACACATACGAATGCGCTTGCTCCAGCTGGTGGTACAATATTCGGAGGCGGTATCGCCTCTCTGATCCTCTAGTTATCACAGGATAGACAATATAATTCAAAATAGGAGGAAATTCAAATTATGATTATCCCAGTCTTATTTCCATACTTGTGACCTGGGCAAGGTGTGGACTACGTTATCATGGAGTTATTGTCCAGTTTCTTTTATTTTTACAGAAGACAACCCAGAACAAGTATCATCTCTCCAGGAGCAAGTTCAGGCCCTGAACAACCAGCTGGAGGAGAGCAAACGCTGGAATGTCTCCCTGCAGTCCAGACTGGAACAGCAGCAACAGAGAGGAGGGGGTGTGGGCAGGGCCAGGGAAACTGTAGAAATACAGGGAACTGAGAATGTTGTGAGTATGTACAACAGAGAGGAGGGGGTGTGGGCAGGGCCAGGGATACTGTAGAAATACAGGATACTGAGAATGTTGTGAGTATACAGTGTAGTTTAGGCAGTTAAAACCTTATACCATCGTATAAGTCTGTTTGTAAAAACAAAATGTTGCATTGAAATAGAAACAAAAAGATCACTGGATACCAGTGGTGCTACTTGGAGAAAACAACTGACATTTAACCAATCATAATCCTTCTTTTACTAGGTCTCCACCTCCAATGACAGCAGTGACCAGTCCAGCAGTGTGTCTGACAGTGACAACATCAGTGACAGGGAACTGTCAGTTAAACAGTTGAGGGAGGAGCTAGCAAAGATGAGGTTAAAAGTCAAAGAAAAGAGGCGCCACAACAAGCAGTTGAAGTACCAGTTACAGCAAGGCATGGTGGAACACAGAGATATCCCAGGTAAGGGGGCAGACAGAAGTCATCTTCTGGGTTTTCTGGAAAACGGTCAGAATTTTTCCACTTTACATGGACGAGCATCCAATTTTTTCTGTCGGAAGACAGTCAAAAGTGTAGGATGAATTGTAAAAGATAATTTGGAAGACTGTCAAAAAATATCTCTGGATCGGCCCCTGAGGGTGGCTTAGGAGCCCTTACAGAAATAACCTATAGTGTCGTATTGGACTCCGTGGGAAATTGGTCTTAGGGGAATTCAGAATGAGAAGAGCTGAGTGCTAGCTGGTTCACGGCCTAAATATGGCAAACCTACATGAAAGGAAGACTGCTTTATCCTGTAATGGTCTATCCACCTCTCGCATGCCTCCCCACCTGGCGTCCCTCGACCAGTTGCATTGAGACAAGATTTAATTGCTATGCCCCTGAAGGGACAACGCATGGGGAGGTGTGAAAGAGACGGAGAGATCAGGATAACGTGTTTGTGGCCTGCGAGACATGATATTGCCAAAAAGTTTGTTATCAAATACCGGAAGCAGTGTAAGAGAACAATGACGTCACCAGGTTGGTGGTCACGTGCTTCTGCTTGGTCACGTGTTCCATATTCTGATATGTGATTTTTCTTTCGACAACATGAACTTCAGTTCTTATGAATGATAAATGTTTCTGATCTATGATCTAGGATATTTCTGAAGAGGAAATCATTTCTGAGGTATAAAAGTACTCCCTGATATGTGTATAGATTCATTTTTGGCATTGAAATCATATTTCTAAATGCTATTTATTGGTTTTGAGCTGTGATAAACATGTCTTGCAATTATTTCCATTTTGGCATTCCATAGTTGTGCAGTTTTAAAAAGTTAATACAATGAACTGATGTTTTATTTCTAGGTGAGAATGTGACTGACCTGGATCCAGTGGAGAGTACAGGTCTGTCCTCCCTACCACCAGGCCAGCAGTTAGAGCAGCTGAGAGCTAAGCTAAAACAACAGGGCAAGGAGAACCTGGTGCTAAGGAGGTGCTTGGACCTGGACACTGAGTTACCTGTGCCTAACATCCCAGACCTGCCCAAAGTTAAACACATGAGGAATGAAATGGAAAAGTATGTGGATGTTTTGCATTGTAGTCATGAATTCAGTCACTGATGAGTCATCATTGGTTGTTGAATTTAGTCGTAAAAAGTATGCATAGCTTATCTTGAAATATGGGGAAATGTCACGCATCTTTTTGTTCTATTGAGACTATTTATAAGGTTCAGATTATACCCCTGAAGGCAGGGCAGTGGCAGAGTACATCTTTTGCTTAAATATGTTATAATAGTCACTGTAGACTGAAATTTATGGCAGTGCGTTGGCACTTTCATTTGTTTTCATATGTTCATTCTGTTAGATATAAACAAGTGATCCTCTCATTTTGTAAAACATAATTTAAGATTATATTATGTAATGTTAATCAGGATGAAAGAACTGCTGCGACAGGCAGAGCATCAGAATGACCTGTTGAAGAAACAAATAGAACTGGATACCTCCACAGATGACATACCATCTGGGTTCAACCCAGAGCTCATCATTCAGATGTCCCATGAGATTGAGAGGCTCAAAGGGGAGCTGACAGTAACCAGGGAGAAGCTGGAAGCAGCAGTGGAGGGTAAACCCAGTGGAAAACCCCCGTCGGGACCCCGCAAGAGCCAGATTCCCACCTTGAAGACTCCCCCTGCTGGGCAGAGCACAGGAGCTAACGCTGCCTTGAGGCAGAAAGTGGAGAGCTTACGAGGCCAGCTCCACGAGAGCAAGGTGCTCCTGAGGACGCTGCAGGATAAGTTAGCAGCCACAGAAGCCACTGTCAGGAGCCAGACGGATAAAATGCGCTACTACCGCGGTCTCCTGGAAGACGCCGGATTAATGCCTCGTACTCCGCAGCGCAGTCGCAGCGACTCCAACCTGTTCTCAGGGCGCGTGCAGACGCCAACTAAACTCCGTCCAATGTCTGCATCTACTGACAACCTCTCCATGGGTACGTCTGCTGGACGCGACATGCCGCCACTATCTCCAAGCCTTTCCCGTGGGATGAGCCTTACATCATTGGAAGAATTTGGACAGACTGATAACACAGATGAATTAAAGGACCAGATAAAGCAGCAGCGTAAACAGTTAGAGAGATACCAGAGAATCATCCGCTCCCTTCAGACCAGAATTCGCCTGGGGAGCGACACGGCTGAGAAGGTGTACCTGGGATCCCCACTGCCAGGTAGTCGTAGGGGGTCCTCAGACGGTATTTCAGGGGGTCCCCCAGGTCTGACACCCAAAACCCCTGGCCTTGATCTGGTGTCTCAAGGGAATCAGGCAGCTTTCCAAAGACTACAAGAACAGGTCAGTGAATCTGTTCTAGTTTTTTGAAAAGGAAAAAAAATCAGTATTTTAATATGAATTTTGTTGTTTAAATTGAGAAAGTAGGTTAGTATTTTATATTTTGTGTTTTTTTCCTATATACAAAATTCTGATTTTTAACCTTTCTGAGACTGTATTTAAATCAGCAAATAAAATTGGAATTGAAAAAAAAAAAGTTAAACCCCAGATAATATTTTCCGTAAAGGTCTGCCTTTTGATAATGGTGAGGCTATGTATTTCACAGGTGGAAGAATTAAAAGATAAATTGAGGCATTCAGAAGATTTAAATGCTACTCTCAGGGAGCAGCTGAGTTCATCTCCGTCACCTGAAGACATCAAGAATACTGTACAGGTGAGGGTTTAGTCTCCTAGAAACTAAAAATTTGAAGAGAAAAGTAATAAAAAATAAAAAGGAAGGAGAGGTCACCTAGAAACTAAAAATAAAAAGAGTTTTGCCTTAATAGTTGCAAATTGTTAATTTGTCGGAAGCAGTATTTCAGTTAAGATAATTTGTCATTTATATTTAAAAATAAAGAAATATAAAAAGTTTGTCATATTTATGAGGAATTCCAAACCAAAATTGGTTTAAATTTCTTGCTATCAAAAATTTTTAACCTGACTAAATGTGAAGCAGTGAGTTCAGCAAGTCAGATTTTCTCCTCACCACATTAAGGTTTCCTTTTGCATTTTATAGAGTACTTTATTTCCTGTTCAGATACTGTATATGCTAGTGACTCTAGTTTAGCACACAGCATTCCATGTGTCAGGTTTTCTTTTAATTGCTTTGATACTGGATAGTGTTTAATTGGAGGTACATGTCAGGAAGTTCTGGCTATTAGGACACGGCAAAATATTCAAGGATTTATAAAATAGAATTGTAGCAGTTCTTTTGTAAGTAGCTTGGGGGAAGTAAATTAATGCTTCACTAACCAACTTGTCATCGGCATACTGTCAGACTTCAACTGGGATTTGGAATAAAAATGCTTGAAAAGATGTGATGGGGGCAGTTCTGAATGATAAAGATTCAGAAATTGAAATTTTGTTTATGGATTGCTTTAAGGTATCGAGAATGTTGAGCTGAGGTTTGCTATCACCCGTGTTGCAATATGCAACTTTAGAAGACATTTTTTCAATGGAGAAGTCTTGATAATAGATGTATTGATTGCTATGTGGTGGCCAGACAGTATGAAATCAAAGAGCTGTGAATTAATGGATTTCTGCTTCCTGCAGATGCCTGACAATTAAGCTGAAACTACACAGAATTGTTATTTAGGAGCCATATAGACTGTCAACCTTGTTGACTACAGAAAAAAAGCAGGCTTTTGTCAGGTTAACTTTGTTTTTGAAAATCTGTTCATGAGTTAGGACAGATCACAAGCTATATGTAGCAATTTTTTATCTTATATGATATTACATACACATTTTGGCTGCTAAAAGGGAAGCTGGTCTTTTCCAAGAAAATCCCTTTATGGATTTCAAAGAACTGAACATCAACCGTTTTGTTTCCCAGAAGCAGCAGCTTGAGATTATATCTCTGAAGAAGCAGCTCAGTGAGAGCTATAACATGTGTGAAAACTTACGCAAGCGCCTGGAGGAAGTGAACGGGTTCTTGCAAGAGCTCTTACACCAGGATGCTGATGGAGAAGTTGATGTTATTGATGTGACCCCCACAAGAGTCACTGATCTGAAACGTAAACTGTGCGAGTCCATCAACATGGCTACTCTCCTGTCTACCACTTTAGAAGGTAAGGGTGTTGTGAAGAGTTATATGCTTTACTATTTGAATTCTCTTGTGGGAGTTTTCAGATCATTTTTTAAAAAGCTGTTTGATGATGAAAACAGCTGAAAAGAAATAATGTAAAAATTCATCGTATAATTGCATTAGAGAAAAGAGGGACTTTGAAGGTTTGAAGTGCTCAGTTGAAGTTACACATGCACATCATAATACGTTGTTAATACATGTAAAATATTCAATACACAGACAAGGGATGTATGAGTAATACAGTCATAAAACATCAACATTTTCTAGCACCTTTTGAAGAAGAAGAAGATGAAGAAGAAGTCAATACAACAGTGCCATCTACATATGCTGGCACTGTGCCAAGAAGTGCAACTGCGGGGTCTTCCAATGTGGGCACAGGGGGCACCCAGACAGCTGGGTTGTCTGCTGTTAGAGGAAACAGCACACAGACGGACAGGATGACCATGGGCAGTAAATCTACGCAGGCTGGACAGCAGTGGACCAAGATGGACGGTGGTGACAGCAGACAGCTTATTGAGAGTCTAGAACAAGAGAATAACAAGTTAAAGGAACAAGTTCAGGTTGTGGAAG